CAGCATATATATTTTGAGTTGTATTCACCCTAATTCGTTTAATGGGATTTTGATCTCGTAGTCAAATTTTCCTACAAGCTTCATGTTTCCACGAAATTTCACAGCCGTGTTTCCAGACTTGACTGGAATACATTTTTTATCTCACCCCATCATCTTTTCACCAGCCCCAGTTGGACTCGAGCCCGGTTGTGATAGTACATCGTGTAATCTCAACTTCTTTTATCACTGTAGATACGTAGAGAGACTGGGTTTCAATGAATATTGTATAAAAGCCAAACGGCTGCAGTACAACAAAATTCATCCGTACTCGTCTGGTGAGATCAACCAACGAATCTCTTCTTCATGCACTTTCATACGAAATGAAAGTCCCCCTAACATTCTTTCCTCACCTCAAACTAAATAGGGTGAATACACTTGGATGTCAAGTCCCCATAACCTGCAAAACCATGTGTCCTGTAGCATTATATTACATGTTCTAGATTCTCCGTTTGATGTTCAGGTACTCTCTACTGGGTGAGTCGGCATGCCTCTCATTTGCAAAGACATTGCTACACGAGAATAAAACCAAAGCTCAAATAGAGAAGCCAACTGGCAGGCTCCGATGTTCCCGTTCGGCCAGTCGACTATTGGCGTCGTCGAAAAGAGCCATCCGAGTTGTGATACAGTCTGTTCCCTTTTCGGCATTAACAGACGTCGAGGCTTTCAGCAATCCGGATCCGTGTTTGCCTGACAAAAAGGACGAATGGACCAATTTGTAGCAAAGCTGAAGAGTCACCCTAAACTGGATTCGAGCCTAAAGTTGCCGTTATTTTCGAACAGAAGACAAAAGTAGGCGAGCTGTCAAGGCGGCGGAAAAGTTTTGCAATGTTTGAGTTACAAGCAGCGGCGTGTCTGGCCTAGAGACGCCTCCAAGACGATATTTTGGCTCGAGTAAAGAAAAAAAATAAAAACATAAATAAGGCGACCCCTTTGCCAGAAGTTTATTTTGTTCGTGACCGAGCGGAAATTTTCGGCCAAGCACATCCTAGATGATCGGATCAGCTAGTGCCTATCCTCATGGCGGAAAAATGCATCTCTTTATTCACAAACCTGTAATTTATGCCAACTCAACAGCCTCTGGCCGTCATGGCAACCAGGAGAGTAGGTCCATTCAGTCAAAGAAGCGTGACTCCGATACATTCTAGCCCTGAGTCCATGTTGCTACGACTTGACCGGTACACGCTGAATCTGTCCTATCAAAGGGTGCAGCAGAGGGAAGGTCTTCAACCTCCGACCGGCTTGACGACACCTCGTCACGCCTACGAAACCACTGTGTAGACAGCTAATTTTTAGTTGGTCCGGCGATCTCGGTCACCATGGCGATTGTCGGAGTTTTGAGGGTGAAATCGGCTGGTCCTGTTGGGGCCTGGCTGGCTGGCTGGCTTGGTCGGCCTGGCCGGTGAAGCACCAGAGTGGGCCCAGTGAGTGGGTGGCCGACTGGCGAACGGTATTGGGGGCCTCGTGTGTCTAGTTTGTGGGCCGGAGAAAAGGTCTCGTTTTCGGCGGACTGTCGGAGTACCCGTGGAAATGTAGACGAAAAACACTTGCAATTTGTCACGTCAATAATCCAGCCGATCAGGTCAAGCCTGAATTAAGAAATAATAGCACAAAGTTCGTGTATACTCCATTCATGTCGAGGCTGGAGTTGGTTCAGACAGTCAAACAACTGCAATGCAATGCCAGGGTCGCAGTCGGACTAAGTCAAGACGACCTCATGCCGACCAATAAGAGGCCATTGATAAATCCAAACTCCAGCCACGCCGGCTGTCGACAAAAGTCGTATGATAATCAAACAACGGATATATACATGTATATATACTACATAATACTATACATATACATATATATATTATTGATACATATATATATATATATATCTCGGATGTTTCAATGTGTTGATTATGCTGGAAGTTATGCTTGAGGAGGGAACATCTCACTTAATTGATCTGTATGTAGTTCGCCTCAGCAGAACAGTATGTCATAATTTATCGACAAGCTATCAAGACAATCGATGTTTAGTTGATCTGGTCAGTCTCGCTATTGATCCATAAGGTCTGATTTATTGCAATCCAGGCATCGAGTCTGCCTTGATCAATCGGTGAGGTTCCAGGCCGGCTAAGATATTGGCTCCCACTCGAGGGGATTCGGGGAAAGCCGGTGTTCCGCAATCTGATTTGATCGGTACCACTGGAGCCCGGGTGGAGGTCAGCTACAAGTGGACACCCACAAGACTCAAACATGCAGCACAATGGGGCCCAAGCGAGGTTCTTCGGAGACGCCGAGTAACGGACGCGGTAGGGTTGGCTCCAGGAAACGTCTTCCGGCTCGAGGCGAGGGCACAAGTGCGAGAGAGGCCATGAGGCTATGACACCTTTCCAAAAGGTGCCGACAACTTGCGAATTAACAAATAGCTTAGACCCATTTAGAGGATGCGATCGCCATTTTTGGAAGAATGCTGCTGAAAAGCCAACAAAAATGGAAAACACATACCAACACAAGAACGACCAAGAAATTGTGTCGCGAGGACTTCCGCTTCGTATGAAGGCGCGTGAGAAAAAGACTTGTTGCTTGATCTCACTCGAAGACGATGGCAACATCAGTTGTCCTGTATTTTCGATGTAGTGTCTATGTGCACTAATATTCCGCTGACGAGGCAATAAAGGCTTTAGAGTTTGCACTAGATCAACATAATAAGATCATAACAGGTAAACAATCAGACAAGGATTCAATCATTAAATTAGCCACTTTTGTTATGAATAGTGCATATTGTACCTTCAATGGTAAAATGTATGCACAAACATGTGGATTGGCTATGGGATGATGTTTAGCCATTATATTGCTAATAATTACATGAGAGGTATTCCGGCGATTTCGTTTAAGGCGATGAAAGACTGATAGTAGAAGCTTCCAACAATGATACGTTTCCATTAAATTTCGCATAGCCTTTCTTTCGCATATAAATAATCTACTGGTAGTCTCGAAATTCTGCTTACATTCGAAAAATAATAAGTACATGCATCAATTAAAATTTCATAT